ATAGATATAGTCTATGGACTGTGAAGTCTACTCTGAAATTCTTGAACTCTTCTACCATCACTTTAGAGGCTTATTCGCTAATTAGATTTAATTAAATGTAAGTTGAAAAAGTCAATATTTTTACACATATTCATGTTAAAAGAATTTGTTCGAAAAAAATAACCCTTATGAAGAATCAAAGATGACCATGTGGCGTTTTCGTTAATTTTGCCTATATATATGGTCGACATCAAGTATTGTCATTATTGTATGTGCTTCTGATTCATTATTTGAGATAGCTTTTCCAATTAGTGCAACATGACTAGGGTGTGAGCGAGCGAATGTGTATTATCTTCATTTACACTCGCTGACATGTCTTGATAGAAAACATTATCGTACTGTCGCATCATTATATCCAATTTTTCTATGTTGAAAACTTCGATTCCTCAACAATTATGTAATTTCAATTTTCTTTTACAAAGAAAAAAACCCGATGCCTATTTGACCATCATACTGCAGTGATTTCAAATTTTTCAACAGAAATTTTATGATTGAAAAGCATTCCATCACATTTGAAAAAACATTTCGTATTATAAATGTTTTTCTGGTATGTTTTTTTATTATTTGTGTGTGTCAGAAAACTTCATTCAAGGAGTTAAAAAAGACACTCACACACAGATACGAAAAGAAAGAAGAGAAAATACCAACAATTGTTTTGAGAAAAGAAGAGCGATAACGAAAACGCGAGATCGAGCGAGCAAGTGAAAAAGAACAAAAAAGAAACTTCACATTGCACAATGTTCTTAATAACGTGCAGATTCTGTTTTTTTTCAAATAAAAAAAATGAAAAAGATAGAATACTAAGAAAAGAAAAGAAAAAAAAACAATTCAACTTTTTTTAGGTCATCGTACTAGTTGACAGATCACAAAAAAAATCGATGACTATTGCTTCTTAGATGAGAGAAAAAAAGGCATTTGAGCCGAAATTCGATTACTCGAATTTTCTTTCACGAATATTGTCTTAACAGTCACTGTTACCATAGATAGACATGAGAAAAATTAAAGCACGACTAACTGTACATATTAAAAGTACGAAAATGAAAGAAATTAGAGCTCAAAAAGAAAAAAAGATAAACGGTACCAAAAAGAATCAACTTGCGCATCTTTAACAGTTTTCTTTTTTTTCTTCAAATAAGACCAATTGAGCATTACGTGCATTGAAAACAAAAAAAAGAGTAAGTCTATAAAAAAAAACGAAATGGGATATATCTCGAAAAAGTAAGCACAGATGAGAACAGCCAGAGACAGATAATTACAGAAATTCATACTGTCTCAAGTTCATAAGTAGAATGATATCGCGACAGTCATTAAATACTCGACGAATGTTTTCTGTATCAACAGCACATGTAAAATGTGGATAACACGAATGACGAGTGTTACCAGCAGCTGTGCTAATTCGCTAAATAAAAAAGAAATAACGTATAAAGCAATTTTCATTTAATTTTACTTACTAAAAATTCGTCACGTATGAAATATTTAGCTCGAGTTACTTCTGTATGTTCATTTGGTTCGGATTTTTCTAAAATAAAAATTATCAATGAATATTTATAGCATTAAAAACAAAAAAACAAAAGAAAGTTATCAATTTTGATTAATTCAAAGTATACAAAGAATAACAAACAAAAATGTGTTTTGAGTTTCGCTTACTATATTTAAAAAAGAAGGATCTGTGAAAAATAAATCGATAGAAAAATTTCCCTTTAATGATCTAGATTAGTTCTTTTTACCTAATTCAACATGTGAAATAACATAATGTTCAAATTCAGGAAAATATTCTTCAAGTCGACGACCAGCTTTGATTTTTTCTGCTAGAAGATCTTGTTTATTAAGAAATAATATAACCGAAATTGTTTTTAACCATCTAAGAAAGTCAACAGAGAAAAAAAAAACAACAATAAATTTATTTTTTCTTCAATAAATTTTCTACCGATTATTCCAAATATTTTTAAATAATTCAAGTGATTCTCTCAGTTGATTTTGTTTTTCATCTTCAATAAGTACCAAATTAAAACCACTACATGCTGTAACAAATATTATTGCTGTAACATCATCTAAGCATTGAATCCATTTTCGACGTTCTGCACGTTGTCCACCAACGTCAAACATACTATTTAGATAGACTATATTAAGTATTCAAATATTGATAAATACATACTGAAAGCACACATGTTCAACAGTAAAAATTGTTTCATAAATACCTGATGTAACAACACGACAACGAAGAATATCCTTTAAAAAGAATATCATATATAATTAATAGTTTACGATTTTTCATATTCATATATATGTTTTTTGACAAAATAGTTTTCAAGCTAACGAGAAAACCACTCGACTTTCATGAATCTTTGAAGTCGAGTTAGGATAGTTTTACTGAATTTTCGATCCATCTTTAGTCGATAAATTCCCAAAACAGTATTTCAATGTGAAGTTTTGTCCATAGATAGTTCAAATTATCCTTAGAATATCTTGAAAGTTTTAACCGAAAAAGAATGTTCCTTCGTCAAAATATTGAATTTTCAAAA